CGACTACGACGACAATGAGAGAGAAGGGAGGAGGAGGAGGAGGAGGAGGAGGAGGAGGAGGAGGAGGAGGAGGTTCGGGGTCAGTCGGGGGTTTAGTAAGGAAAACGGTGAAAAATAGAAAAAAGAAAGATAGGGATAGAGAGAAAGATTATGGTTGTGGCATAGGATAGATAGATAGACCGTACACCTATGTTACACCATAAAAATCAGCACTGTCGATATCCTCAGGATAGATTTATAACGTAGTAATAATAAAAAGCGTCGTGTGGAATATGGTTGAATATGATGCTGGTGAAGTCGGCAGCGGCTTTATTAAAGCGTCCCTGAGTTTATGCAGGTCCCCTTAGGAGATCGATTCTAAGAGAGAAGGTTAGATGGAAAAACAGTGTTATTTTATTCTTTCTCTTTGGTTAGGTTACTTTCTTAAGTATAAGTACATATACATATATATATACATATGTACACACTGTTGCAAATGGAAGAAGAAGAAGAAGAAGAAGAAGGAGGAGGAAAAGGAGAAAAAAAAGGAAAAAAAAAAAGATCTAACGCGACGAGGAGAGGACGTTTCTCCGCACGATCGATCAATCGTGTCGAATAGAATAAAAAATGCAACGCATCGCGCCGGATGCAACGTAGGCGAGTAGTTCGAGTTTGTGTGTTGTCGAGTTCGAGAAAGATAGATAGAGAGGGGGAAATGAGGAGAAGCGTGGGGTGAGGTTGGGGTTGGGGGAGGGTTGGGAGGAAGGGATAGTAGACTTATCGACGGTTCGTTCATCAAAGTGCATTGCGCAACACGATGTTATTCTTGGAGTCGTCGTCTCGTGTTCTCAAACCGTTCGGATTTTCCTGGTTGCGTTGATGATATAGGCAGGGTGAGGGGAAGTAAAGGGAATAAAAGAGAGAAAGAGAGATTACACAGTGTTTGACGTTCTTCAACTTATCGAAAGTCTATGGAGATGCTATACTAGGACGGTGAATTATTATACTAGTTGAGAGACTGACTGACTTAAGAGAGAAGAAAGATAATTCTGTTGCACAGTTGCAGTTGCAGTTGAAGTTGCTGTTGGAGTTGGAGTTGGTCGTTTGACATTTTCGTTTTACGGACGCCTTCGTTTCGCGTGTTTTCGCTGCCGAAGAACACCGCCTCCGGGTATACTCGGTTTATACGGATTATTATAGCTTTGCAGTTTACCTTGGTGGCAATCGGTATTGGCTGGCCATTGTTTCGAATAATCGATACCTATACCTCCAGCGGCGATAATATTTGCCTTTCGAATAATCTCGAAACCCCTTCGAGAGAGCTTAATCGACGTCTCCACCCCATAAGCTAAAGCCCACACTACAAACTAACATCCACCGAAACTATCCTTCCTTTTGGTCTAGTCGATAATTATCTTTTCCCTTACGGGGAGAAATACGACATTTTATTTTAAACGTTGGACGCGCGTATAGATATAATATTATACTAGATCTTATTTTACAATATTCGATGATCATATCTTCTTCTATTAGAATCTTTTTTATTATTTCGAAACGTACTAACACACTTTTTTTACATATTTCATCTCTATAATATTTCTTTTTTTTATTTATTCTAATTAGAATATTTAAATTTACTAATGCATATTGTCTTGTGTTCAGTCAAATGTCTACTAACTATAATTTTAGTTTCAAATTTCATAAACAATCCAGAAACGTTCCATTAATTTATAAAAAGCATCTCAATACTAATTTATTTAAACATAAATCATAATTTTTGTCATTAAAAATACATTTAAAATGTTATTAGTTAATAATTATTATTCGAACATAGACGATACGTTTGTATTGGTTACCTCACGTGAGATGAGAAAACGTTGGAGTCGTTCATATTCCAATACTAAAGCAAAGTGATACGAAACAACAGAAGTTAAGATTATTAACTTTACATCTATCTTTCAACTCATTAAAAAACGACCAAGACGACAAACACGAACAATTGGAACACCATACGTTTCTTGATAAATTACCTTGGGAATAGAAGAAGAAGAAGAAGAATAAGAATAAGAATAATAAGAAGAAGATCCCAAGGAAAATACATTTTGCAGTTGTTCTTCTTCTTCTTTAGTTAACTTGTAAATCGCATATACATATATATATATATATATATATATATATATATATACTTACACACAAGAGGTGTAAAGTTTACGGTCTTGTATCTTAACTTTAACCATGGAATACACACGATATTATTCGTATTCGCGATCCTCGGAATTCCTTTGTGCATAGCCGACACGACTTTCCCTTCCGGAGGGAGACCAAGATATGGAAGTCGTCGTCGAGATTCGACTCGTATATTTTCTCTCTCTCTCTCTCCCTCTCTCTATGTTCAGATCTGTTCTTGGTTCTCTCCTTGCTACTTTTTCGAGTACTTAATAAACGAACGAACGAAAGAACGATAAGTGAAAGAAAGAATGAGTGGAAAGGTTGACACCGAGAGTTCATCGAGTTTGGTTTGCTAGCAGAAGTAGAAGCAGAAGCAGCAGCTACAGGTTGTCGAGATTTTTTTCTTCCATCGAGTGTCATTGTGTCTTCGGTGGCACGACACTCTAGCGAAAAAAAAAAAGAAAACTCCAAGAGAAAGAGATAGGGAAAGGGGAAAGGGTGAAAAGATAGGAAGGGACCTAGCTTCGAAGCTCAAAAAAGACAGGCAAAGCAGTGAGAAAGAAAGAGGAGGAAAGGGTTGTATAAAAGGGCCATGACCCTCTTGAAATGTACTTCTTTCTTTCTTTCTTTCTTTTACTTTTTTTATTTCTTTCTCTCTCTCTTGCTTATTTGCTTGCTTACTTGCTAGCTAACTCGCTCGTGATCCTTGGTATTATTTTTGGATGAGGATGCTGTTTCCGGCGGTGCAACCAATTTGTATAATTACTGTTTTCTCTCTAAACAAAACTCATTCGAGTTGGTTGGTGCTTGTTTTACTTTCATTGGTTATCTTCTCTTCATCTCACCGGTTCTACTTCTATTTTCATTTCTTTGTGTGTTTCACGATTTGATTACTTATTATTATTATTATTATTATTATTATTATTTTTAGATGATAGTAAATATATCGATCGAGTATGAAATTTTGTCTTTCTCTTGAGGAGGAGACATTTTAACTCGAAAAGCAAAAGTAACTCAGGCGCCGAGTTCTTCTTCCCCTTCCCCATCACCCCACCCCCCCTTAATTTCTCTCTCTTTTCGTCATTCGCTTTTCATTTCGTTCATTTTTACTTACCAACCTTAAAATAAACTTTGAAGCCTTGCGACAGCGGCGTCTTTCTCCCATTGGGTTCTCTCCCTATTTTCTTTCTTCTTTCCTCGAGATTGAAGATGAAGCCAAAGGAAGTAGGAGTAGGAGTAGGAGAAGTCAAGGGTGAGGACAAAGGGAAAAGGGAAGTAGAAGTAGAAGTAGATGTAGAAGGAGAGATAGAGAGAGAGAGAAACACGCTTTGAGAGATACCCCCATAGAGTTACAAGCTTTCAATTTAGTAGTGCAAACACTTAAACGTTGGTTAATATCTCCCTTTTTCATTTCCTGATTCAACTTCTGTTATTTTCTTTGTATTCTCGTCCTTTTCCTCGTCTCTTTTGCTAACAACGATAGATACTAAATGAATGTATTTAAATGTTGTTTAACATTAAACCTAAAACAGGAGGAGTCAAATAACCCCATTCTTTTAGTTAATTTTTATATTACAAATTTCTTACGAGTTATAGTGGTGTATTTTATAAAAAGTCAACGAATTTGTTATTTTCTCATAAATGTGATTATAATAATATAGTATTATATTTATTGTTTATATATAAACATCGTCAAAAGTATTCTTGTCTTTTTACAGTTCCCTTTTACGGGTTCGCGAGTTATTTCCTTACTAACACTCAATTCTCATACTTGTTTAATACTATCAACAGAAGTTTGTATCTTTTTACCACCTTCCTAGAGTCAACAGTATACGATTTTTTGTTCGAACGGGTCTCACCAATCGATGTTTACTAACCGTACTCACGTTGCTTGTCTTTAGCAATCTAAAGGGAACCAGTAATCCAATGTGTGGCTAGGTCGTTGACTATGTTGTAAAATATATGACTTATCGAACACGGGGGTCATTTGATACGCCATGCTAGAAAGATTAAATATAAGTAATATTAAACGATACGCGTTTAATGTTAACAAATTTTTGACGTTTCTTTCAATAAGAATATTTATTAACGTAAATTTGTTTCTTGTTTTTGTTGCAGATAGTAAGATCGTAGTTACGGAAAGAAGAATGCCGTGAAATTGCGACGATGACCGGTGAAAGAACGCACGTTGCGTTCATGGAAAATCATCACTTTCGTTGTCGTCGTCGTCGTCGTCGCGATATTTTTCGTTTCGACGTGATCTTTTGATAAAAGAATAATATACAGAGAGAGAGAAAGAGAGAAAGAGGGAGATAAAAAGAAAGAAAGATAAAGAAACAATAGAAAAAAAAACAAGAAAAAGGATGGACGAGATACGAGGTTCGCCAGCACGTCGTCTTTCTCAGATTCTCGATCCGATCGCACGTTTGGCGACGGATTTTGGTTCGAGCTCTTCGGCACCTTGCAGTCCAAGACTCGGTGCACGAACACACGAGTCAACGAGTTCCGTAGCACACCACCATCACCATCACCACCATCAGCAGCAGCAACAGCAACAACAGCAGCAGCAACAGCCGAGTACACCCGAGGGTATCCGAAGGCAACAACAACAACAACAACAACAACAGTCGTCGTCAGTTGGTGTTTCCGATTCGAGCCGAGTTTTGTCGAGTGGTCCTGACAGTCCTAGATTATGGCCTCGTCAATTTCGTCAAGCACCCACGCCACCACCTAGACCTCGTAATCAGAGCACCTCACCTCTGAACAACAATAACAATAACAACAATAGTGGTACTATTACTGCTGGTGCTGCTGTTGGTGCTGGTGCTACTGTTGCTGGTGCTGCTGTTGGGGGAAGTAACATTGGTTCTTCTATCGTACATTCAAGAGATTCGCCTTACGTAAACGTACCCAATTTACTATTTCAAAAGGATAAAACTTACAAGGATGCAGCTAGGAGCGCAGGTTACGTAGAATTGCGCGATCCAAAGAGCAACAAGTGTAGTCCTTACGATTTCACATCGGAATCAAGCGGTCACGTTGAATATACCGATAAAAGAACGTACGCCGCCCAAACGGATTTCTCATCTCAAACTAGTGCAACCACTACCACCACTACCACCTCTTACGAACCCAAGGATTTGTCGGCCCTTGCCCGAGGTAGACCAACCTTTGATCCTGGATCCTCTACCAGGGCTCACTTCGATAGAGCTTTTTCCTTCTCCGGTAGACAACCGGTGGATCATCAACAACAACAACAACAACAACAACAACAACAACAACAACAACAACAGCAGCAGTCTACGGGTAGAACGTTCGTCGAGAACAGATTGTTTCTCGATCAGAGGACCGCGGCAGATGTAAAGAAGGAAAAACTTGAAACTAGACCCACGTATGGATCCTCCAAAAGTTTTGACGGTTATTCGAGCGCCGTTGAAGAACTCAATTGGCAAGAGAGATGTCTCGAATTGCAATTGGAACTACATCGTAGCAGAAATCAAACGATCAAAGTACGAGATATGCTTCGAGAAAAGGTAAGGGAACCAACACCACATTTTGTTTTTATACGTTTAAACTATACTATCCTAGCGAATATCGATTTTCATTATTTTCTCTTCTTACGTATACAACTCTTACGTAGGGGTTATCTCAGGTGTTCTGAGATGGGACAAGGAGGAGAAATGGTGGGAGGGGTTGGTTGCAGTGGTAGCGGTTGTTATTCGTCGTCGTTGTCGTTACGACCCACCTTTTTTCCTTCTTGCATTTCTTTTTTTTTTTTTTTTCTTTCTTTCACGGCCGATAACTTTACGATCCTAGAGCTACTCGAGCCGACTTTTTACGGGCCCGTTGAAACTTTATAAATCGTTATCGTACTCGCGACGAAAGTATGAACGATTCACCGGCATATACCATAGTAATAATAGTAGTAGTAGTATTAGTAGTAGTAGTAGTAGTAGTAGTAGTAGTAGCAGTAGCAGAGAGTAGACGAGAGACCAAATGTTAGAGTTCTACTCTCTTCCTACCACGAATCGATATGCTGGCCGTTTCGTGCATTGAACGACCGCATTGCGATTCGTAGGCAGACCTGAAGATATTTACTCGACTCGAGATAGCCATCCTCTCCCCAATGCACCACCCTACTGCACCCGACCCCCCCAATTCTCTCCAACTATCTCGACCTATATTCTTTTTCATTTTTTTTCTCTCTCTCTCTTTTTCTCTTTTTCTTCAATAAGAGTCCATTGGGGAAGTTACCTTTTTGACTTCTTCTGAAAGCATCCTTACCTACAATTCTTTCTTTAAAATATCTTTTGAATTCCCAATCGTTCTCAATAGGTTATTCAAAGTATTACCACCACTACTACTACCATCACCACTACCACCATTACCATTATCATCGAGCAGAGTGTAATTTTCTTTAACGCGTTTGTCCTCTCTTTGACCTCCGTCGCGGTAGCGGCGGAATAATCGAGATCATCTCGTTGATCAAATTCGCGTGATGCAAGAGCACCGTATTATCGCATTCATTAAACTTCGTGTAAGTATATTATATATATGTATATATATATAGATGAAGGATAGTATATGCGAGTTACATACCTATATCGAGCATTTCTCGAAACGATGGCCTCGAAACGAGCTGAATTTAGTCGCTAAATTACAAGTGACAACGACACGCGCCACTTTATAACGTTTCTCTTCGTAGTTACTACACAACCCATTCATTCTACATATATATATATATATATATATATGTATATACAGGTATAGAAATACATGGAAATAATATATACGTTAACACATTTACCTACCTACAGTCATGACGATTAATTTTCATATTCTCTATTTCTCTCTCTCTTTCTCTCTCTCTGTTTATCATCTTTGAAAACAATTTTCTGGTATAAAATAATACCAAATATTCTCTTAACAACCCTTTACTGACTTTAATTATCAAATTCTCATTTCTATTCGTTGGATTAGTTGAAAATTGGTTAGATCGAATTTTGTATACCTATAGGAAGAAACATTTAACCAATACACTATCAAATCGATTTTACCTTCATTTCCGGATATATCAAAATGTTCGTACGTATCTTTCTACCTACTATACGTACCGGTTGGGACCGGAACGGTAATATTCGTGCGAGTTAGGGTGAAACAAAAGAGAGAATGAGGAAATGATAGAAGAAAGTTTTATCCGTGAGCGTAACATACGTCAAAGGAATTACACGGTTCTAGGGTCAGCCCTTCGGTGGTGTAGAACATATAACAATCCGGTCGAATCGTTTTAGTATGCACGATCACGCGCCACGATTTAGCGTGGCCAACCCCCCTTACTAGATAAGGCACATCGTTCCTGGTAGTAGTAGTAGTAGTAGTAGGGGGTTGGGGGATGGGGGTGGATAAAGGGGGGTTGTAAAGACAGCGACCGCTGTTGGTCGTTACGTAGGCAGTGCATTCTAAAGAGATAGAATAAGAGAATAGGAGTGAGTGAGTGAGTAAGTGAGGGGGAGGGTTAGGGGGGAATAGGAACGTGCAGGAAAGTCCTTGACTCTTCAAAACCCTCTCGGCCTTTAAACGAACCTTAAACGAAATTGAATCACTTAAACGAGACAAAGAACACCTGCAGCACGGTCTTTAACGCGTTGTTTACCCGCCATCATTGTTCTTTCGGGAATCTCGCAAATCTCGTTAACTCTCAGTTCTATTCTCTTCTTTCAACCCATCCCCATACCACCCTCCTCCCACCATCATCCCCGTTTTCATTACTCTGTCTCTTACTACTCTCTTTTCATTTTATCATGGCCGATCCTTTTGCGCTTTTAAATACGCGTTTAGAAATTTCCCTAATTCCGTGCAATCGTTTCATACGTTTAACGTTTTCCTCGATGTTCAACGAACGTTGAATTTTAATAAGGTTCCACAAAATAAATACATAGATAGATAGAGAAAGAAAGAAAGAGATGAAAATTTGCTTCTCTTTGTAGAAATTTAAATAAAATAAGAAAAGAATAAATAATGATTATCAATGGGATTGTTATTATTATTATAATTCTTCTCATATCTTATCGATTAGTTAAATGATAGTAGAACGATTTTTATTTTCTGTTAGAATTAATAGCAAAAACGAGAAAAAACAAAATAAAATACAAAATAATCATCGTTATTGGACCGTTGCCAAATGTTAGAGAAAAAAAAGGTGAGGTTTTATTTACTTACTTACTTACTTACTATCTCTTTTTCTCTTTCTCTCTCTTTCTATCTACTATTATTCTTTTCCCCGTTATTATCAATCTTATCGAATGAACGTTACCCGTTTATCGACGTAATACACCGAAGAAAATGGTCCTCCCCTCGTTTGCGAAACCGCGACGACCACCACCCCCATCGTAACCATTCACCAAACCCTTCCTTATCGGTATCAAGAAACTATTCTTTTTTATTATTATTAAAACAGATGATATATAAAAAAAAAAATAGAGAAAAAAAGAGCAAGAAGAAAAAGAAGAAGAAGACTAAAGGGGAAAAATAGAAAGAAAGAAAAAAAAGGGGAAGAAAAGAAAAAGGATCGAAAAGACACTTTCGAGTCTTTACGAGATTTTCTTTCTCTCTCTCTCTCTCTCTCTCTTTCTCTCTCATTAAGTTTCTTCCTCGCGTGAGGAGAGAAAGAGTACGAGTATGGAACAACACGGAAAAGGCAGCTACGCCCGTCAGAAAAGATAAGACCCTGCCCCTCCCCCTTCCTCCCACCTCCTCCTCCTTCTTTCCCCCGTTATCCCCACCTCACTCCCCCTTACGTCTTCGTCGTTGGAAGGCGAAGGCGAAGGCGAAGGCGAAGGTCGTTATCGTTGAGATGCTCGAGGCCTTCTATCTCTCATTTTCTTTCCTTGTTTCTCTCGTTAAGTTTCCTCGTTGGTGCACAGCTTACATCACGAGGTTCGGTGCCCTCACGACAGACGTAACCGTTTGTTTATACGATATAACGTAGGTTATACACGTAACTTTGCCATTTAGCTGCCACTCCTATCGATTTTCCCCCTCCCCCTAAACCCCTTTTGTGCATTTTCCTCTACCCAATTTTCTTACCCACTTATGTACGTATTTTACTTATTTAACCTTGCCGTGATTACTGTATAAGATTCCCCGGTAATGTATTATGTTGATGTTAATTTTTGTTTTTTTTTTGTTATATAAATGATCGGTGGTATATATGTATGGTTATACGAGGGAACGGGTTTGTTTAACAATTTTTAATAGGCGATAGATTTGTTTTAGAATTATATTATAATATAGGGTTCTCTTGACACGTTTTTATTTTTGTTTCGAACAGGATTTTGTTATAATTTAATGCGATAGGTTTAAGCAATAATTTGTTTCAAATTGATTATAAAATTTTGATTGTATATTGATATATTGTGTGTGTGTGTGTGTGTGTGTGTACATGATAAATATTAATACTTTATACTTTTTACTCGTACTAATTACATTCAGAACAGCACGAAATATAATATAATTTATGTATTATTCGCGTTACAGGTAATACTATTGAACGTGTACTTTCATTTGTTTCATTGATTTATTTTAATATGCAAATTAGTACATAACACTTTTAGTAAACTTTGATATTTCATGATATATAATAATATTTAAACGAGGTCGACGAAAAAAAAAAAACAAAAAAAGAACAAAGTTACGTTGAGAAATGCGATTACCAGCTGATCAAGTAGTTTCTTTCTTTTTTTATCATTTTTTAATCTCTCTCTCTTTCTTCCTTTTTTGTTTCCCCCATAAACTAGTCGTGGTTACGAAGAAAAGTTAATAGCCGGTACAAATATCCCGAAGCGTATACCACCGTATACACGCACATACATTTACACGTATATAATACAGATACATACATATGTCTATCTATATATATATATATATATATATAGGTATATAGTATCGCGAACAGAACTCGCGTGTTCTCTCCCCAAGAGTTGACCTTTTCTCGCGTGACAGCAAGCTGCATTCCACTTTCACGGGCGCTCTTGGAAAATCGTTTAAAGAAAATTGCGATAACTCTTACGTGTATGTAATTCTAAGAAAATAAGCCAAAACACATGTGTATATATGTATATATGTACCTCGTTTCGTGCTTTAAAATCATTTGCTGAAAGTTTGGTAGGAACTTTCAAGGCCATCTCACAATTATCCATCCCACCCCTGTCCCGTCCCCCCTCTTTTTCCAATTCAATTAAATCAAATGTGTTTTGTTTCTTCTCTTATATTAATTTACTTTTAACGAACGTTACCGAATATCAATTTTTTTGATTTTCTTGAAAAGATGAGGATGGGTTGGGGGTGGGGGAAAAAGAAAATTAAACTTCCCGTAGGAAGGGTACATTATAGATGTTCATTATATTAATAGTAAAACGAAATGCAAGAATTTTTCTATAATTCAACGATGTCGATGTGTACGATCACAAAATTCAATTCAATTAATTTCCTTTTATATTTGTTGTTGTTGTTAAAAAACGTTATCAAACATGTT